GAGTGGGAGCCAGGCAGGGCAAGGGCGTGGGCAACCATGAACTGAATCTCACCCCACCTCTGCCCTCAGTTCTTCGTCCCTCCAAGAAGCCACAACAGTGCATCCCGACAGGAAACTGGGACTTCTCAGTCCCAGCCTGGGCTTTGACCACTAACTCGCTGTGTGACCTTTGTCTCTTCCCTGATCTGTGTATTTCTCTGCACCACAGGTCAAACACAGAACTCCTTCTCATGAGGGCAGTCTGCTCCAGACTCTGATTTTAGAATCGCTTCTGCTCCCTATGCGTCTGCGTCCCCCAGGAATGCTTCCCTTTCCCATGCCTCTGTTCCCCCCAGAGAAGTATCAGTGGCTTCAGGCATCAGACACACCTGGTTACAAGGGCTGGGTCCTCCTGTAGTACTCTGGAGTGCCAGCAGGTGGCACATCCAGCCTCTGGAGGAGGAAGGAGGAGAGGGAAGGGGTTGGGAGGAGGGCAGGCCTGAAGGTAGAGAGGCTTCCCAGGAGCCCCACCACCCACTCCAAGGCTCACATCTGCCCCCTGGAGGTAGGAAGAGCAGGAATTGCTATTCTGGCTTCTGAGGTAGAAGCCGACTTTGAGAGGGCAGTTAACCTGCCCAAGGTGACAAGCGAGGTTGAGCTTGGCTGGACCTGGCCCCCAGTTCAAAGCCCTTGAACTGAGGTTAGAGAGTTTCCAGAGGCTGGATGGAGGTGGGTGCACTGTGGGCCTGAGGCTGGCCCTGGGTTCTTCTAGTAAGCCTAGATTCCAGGTCTGTAAACCCAATTAAAAACCAAGTTGTCACTCATATTGGGGGAAGGGTTGTTGGGAATCGAACCCACAGACTTGTGCTTCCTAGCCCTTTATCGCTAAGATCTTTATGAGGCCATCATCTGTGCACCCCACCCCAGGAGGCCCTGGCTGGGTGTGTGAGAGCAGCCTGGAGGGAGAGCTTCCAGGGGGACGAGGGGCCCACCCAGGGAGCCAGGGGAAGGAGGGGTCCCATAAAGAGCCACTCCCAGAGATAAGGGGCTGTCAGAGAGGAAGAGGCTGCCTACAGGGCCAGGACACGTGGGGGCTTCTGCACTCAGGCACAGCACCAGGGCTGCCCTGCCTCCGGAGGCTACCAGTCCCCATTGGGAACTTGGGGAGCCTAGGCGCAGGGGCTCAAGGTCATATGGTAGGTCAAAGGCCAAGGTGGAGGAGGACCTGCAATTTCAGAATGTGACTTTTAAACAAGGTTAGAGTGTCCTTGGGAGGAGGTACCGGGGATGTCAACTGAGAATTATTGACAACACTGGTTGGGGGGTCCCCCTAGGGGTAAAGGCAGGGGAAAGCAGAGGCTCTTTTGCATGAAGAAGCCAGAGGAGGAAGAGGAACCAGCTATTTGCTTAGGCAAACTCCAGCTAACAAGTTGGGGGTGGGGAGGCCTACACAGGCCTACCATCCTCACTATCCTATAGGCCAGCTCACCTAAGCAGGAAAGAAAAGCTTCCAGATAGGGCATTGACTTGCTGTGTGGCCTCGGGTGGGTGAGTTCACCCTTCTGAGCTGCAGCTTCTTTTTCTGCAGAATGGTGATAACAATCCTACCTCCCTGGGCTGGGGGAATTATGAATCAAGGTGATGCATGCCGAGGGCTTGGCATGATGCCTGGCACTTAGAAAATGCTCAATAAATAGCGGTGAGATTGCTGTTGTTATTATGCTAGTGCCCGTATGCCACCTTAGAGAGGTGAAAAGGCATGGAGCTAGGGGTCAGAAAGTCAAAGAGGGAGAAATCCGTAGGAATGGCGGCAGCCCCTCTCAGCACGTGTCTGCAGAGCTTAGGGGGGGCACAGTGCTGGTGGCTCCCCAAGTTCCAGGGATCCCTGGCTCTACCCTCTCCCTGATTAGGAACACAGTCCTTTGTTTGCTTAGAAAGTCCCCTGCCACTTGGGCCCATCTCTCAGCCATCACCTGAGTCCTGGCTATAATCGCGTCACTGCCCCAGTTTCCCACTGCTCTTGGGCTCAGACTCAACTCCCACCCCCACCACTCAAGACTGGTCTTTCAGTACTAGGGGAACCTGATTCCCTTGGCCCTTAGGGCCTCCGTGTATACTGCCCCTCTGCCACAACGTCCTTCCCCACTCACCAGGGGCCTGACTCACACAGCACTGCTTCCTTCAAGACTTCTCTGATTCCCTCTTTCTGGCTCTCGCCAAGATGTCATTTTGCTTTTACTATGATTATTAGGTTCCTACTTGCTCCCCCCCCCATACACACACCCCTGAGGGGGTGCTCATTCAGCGCTGAACACAGTGTCAGCAGAGGGATGTGGCAATACGTATGCGTCGAATGAATACATGAGTTCCTATACCTCTTCCCAACCATGCCTACCATCTAGGTCTGATTTAGCCTAGTCTTGGAATTGGAGGGCACCAACCCTCCCTTCCCCAGAACAGGTATCCCTAACTGGAGACTCCCAGCAGTCACTTGTGTCCCTTCCATATGGAGAGTTCACTCTCTGCGATACCCATCTCATGATGGACAGCCCCTCATAGAACCTCATGGGTAGGTAGGGATCTAAGTCAGCAGCTCTCTCTCTCAAGTCCCAGCTGTGCCCTGCCTCTGCCCAGCTGCAGCCCTCCCACCAGGCCTTCTCTTCTTCCAGTCCCAGCAGTCCTCATTATTCCAGCTCAGAGTGAGTTCAGTCCTCTCCGGCTTCTCTCGTCTTGATTCTCACTGACCTCTTGAAAGGTTGGGCCCCCGAGTGCAGCCCAGAGCTCCAGATGACTTCTGAGAACCATTTCACCAGCGTGTCCCCACTTCCTGACCTGGAAACCTGGGGCCTTCCCTGCTGAGGCAGCCAATGCTGTGCCCTGTGTTCATCTGTGTCCAGCAACAACCCAGACAGGCCCTTCCCTTCTAAAAGCAGCCTTCACTGTGCTGTGGAAACTTGGGCTCTACCACTTTCCTTTTGGGACCTCAATGCTTCCACCCATACCATGGGAAGACCTTCTCTGAGCAGTAAGGGGAGCCCTGTCTCACTGTTATGTGTAAGAGTGAGCTTCTGACCAGGGTCTACTTCGTGGCCCTGGTTGAAATGTTCTGCTGTTGCCATCTTGAAATTCTAGATAAGTTTTGAACAGAAAACTTTCTTTCTCTCTTTGGTTGTGTGAGCCTTTATGAACCAGCAGGCTATGTTAAGGGGGATGAAGCTGAAGGAGTGGGTAGCCTGATGCCAGGGTGGCTGTGCTTCACGGGCTTGTTGGTGGTGGAGAAACTCACCCAGGTAGTAGTTGATTCTTGGCTGGATCTGCACTTGGTTGAAGGTCTTGGGCCCATCTCTCAGCAGATGCCAACGCCCCTGTTCACCACCACAGCAGGATGATCTTGTCCCACAGGTGCATCTTCACTACCTACAGCTTCTCTGTGGGTGGACCCTCCTTCTTTGGTCTTAAGCAGGTGCTTCAGCTGCTTTCTATGCTGTCCTTGGTTTAGGGACGGTGGCTGCTACACGCTGTACACCTGGATGTGCATCCAGTAGGACATGTCCAGCAGCAGGTCAAGGTCCATGTCACTCTAGTTGAGCTTGCAGAAGGTCACTTCTTCTGCTCTACTTCATCCATCTGGCTGGCTCCTGCACCTTGTGTTTTCATTATGCACTGGACCCTGCAAGTTGTATCCTGACCTTGACCCATCATCATCTGGCTGAGCCAGCCCTGGCTAATGTGGTGACCTAAGAGAGAGAGAAAGGTTCAACAGATAAGAGGCTGATTCTGCTCTCCTTCTGGGGGCCACACATCTCTGCACACCTAGGTTTTCCCCCAGGAAATGTCAGAGGATCAAATTCTACAGGGCTCTTCTGCACAGCTCCTTGACCCTATAGGGAGGAACCCCCTTCTCCCCTAGGCTTTCTGATCCAGAACCCTGTCCTTCATGAATCCTTCCCCGAATCCTTCAGTCTTGCCCCCAACTCAAAGATCATTCATGTTGCCTCAGCTTCGCAAACACCCCTCTGAGAGAGCTGGGAAGTGTTCGCAGGGCTGGATTGGGTGGGAGAGCAGGTATGATATACTAAAATACGCAGGGGCCCCAGCTCTCAAATGATCCTGATTCCTACAAAGCAACTGCTAACTGAAGTATGTCAGCATTAAATGACATGATGTCTGGAATTTGTTTTAAAATACTTTAGGAAAAAGGGAGGAGTAGATGAAGTAAGTGTGACCAATCTTGATCACCATTGAAGGTGGCCCGTTGCCTACACAGCGAGCATTATACAAGCTGGTCATTAGACTATTCTACTTTTGTGTATGTTTGAAATGTCTCAATAACCATGATAAAAGGGTAGAGGGTCATCAAAGTTTCCCAGGACTTCCTCCCCAGAAGACCCCCTCCCCACACCTTTGAGAAATTTCTCCAGGAACCAAGTGAAACCCCCAATACTATGCAGCCTCATGTATGTGCATATGTGCATTCCCCGGAGGAAAACATCCACAGCTTTCATCCCAGACTCGAAGGGTCGTGACCCCTCTTCCCTCCCCCAAAAGATCACCAGCTACCTTGCAGACCGCCCTGTTAAGTCCCTGTTTGAAGTCAGCATTGCCTGCCCTCACCCCAAACTGGTTGGTCACTGCCGAGTGTGTCTGTGTCGCATGCCAGGTGAAGCTAAAGTCTCCCTGCTCCTGAGAGCCAGTTTCTCCACCTGTTAACTGCGAATCGTGGGGAGGCCCCTGTGGCCACCGAAAGGACAGGACGGTGTTCCGCCCGCCAGGTCCACCGCTTAGCAGGCAATTCCCACACGCAGCGCCTCGCCCCTCGTCCCCAACCCCCTCCAGGCCCTGGCCAGTCCACCTCCCGCTTGGGGCGGCAATTTGTCTCCTTTTGAACCCCTCGCCCCCGACGGGTTTCCCCCTTTGATTCGCGGCCCGGAGGCTTCCCCCAGCTTTGAAATGCAAACCCGCCTCGGCTGGGGCCGCGGGCGGCCCGGAGCTATAAAAGGCCTGGGTGGGGCGGGCGCGGCGGCAGGGCCGGCGAGTTCAGGTGAGCAGTCGCTGGTCGTCGGGGCGGCCGGCAGCGGCGGCTCCAGGGCCCAGTATGCGCGGGGGGCCCCGCGGCCACCATGTACGTGGGCTATGTGCTGGACAAGGACTCTCCCGTGTATCCCGGTCCCGCCAGGCCCCCGAGTCTCGGCCTGGGTCCGCAAGCCTATGGCCCCCCGGGCCCGCCCCCCGCGCCCCCGCAGTACCCCGACTTCGCCAGCTACACTCACGTGGAGCCGACCCCCGCGCCCCCGACGGCCTGGGGCGCTCCATTCGCTGCGCCCAAGGACGACTGGGCCGTAGCCTACGGCCCCGGGCCCGCGGCCCCCGCCGCCAGCCCAGCCCCGCTGGCATTCGGACCCCCTCCGGACTTTAGCACGGTACCCGCGCCCCCCGGGCCCGGCCCGGGCCTCCTGGCTCAGCCCATCGGCGGCCCGGGCGCCCCGTCCTCGCCAGGAGCGCAGAGGCGGACCCCCTACGAGTGGATGCGGCGCAGCGTGGCGGCTGGAGGCAGTGGTGGCAGCGGTAAGGACACCTCCCCTCGCCCTGCGCCGCGCGACTATTCCCGGGGCACTGGCAGGTGCTCTGCGCGGCCCACGCTGCCCCTAGTTTGACCTCTGCCCTGGCCGGGCTCGGGTTGCCGAGAGCGTGGCCTCTGATCACTCTCTCCCTGGAGGGCTGTTGTGTCTTCCCGCTGACGCTCAGCCAGCAGGAGCCCTGGGGAGCCCACCAACCCTCTTTCTGCATAGACAGGGAAGCTGAAATCCCGCGAAGTGAGGAGACGTGCCTGTGCTTGTGCAAGGCGGAACTAGAAGGCAGGTCCTCAGACTCCTATCCCGGCACTCCTAGGGGGTCTGGCCCTGGTGATCTTCCTGGGCTTCTTCCACTCCTGTCCTAGCTCCAGCAGAGGCGACAAACCTGGCGTCCCTGTGAGAGTGGGCAGGTCACTTCCTTTCCAGGACTGAACCCCCTATTTTACAGAGAAGAGATTGGGTCGTATCTTTTGGCTGGCAAAGAGTCTCTCTCAGTAGTTTGGAGCTGGGGTCCCTACCTAACCTCCCCAGGGCCCTCCCTGAACTCTTGACCCTGGGGGAGGGGAGGTAGATGCTGTGGGGAAGGTGGCTACTGTTTGGCTCTGAGCCTGTGAACCTCCTGCCCCCAGGCAGGCCTCTCTGATCCACCCTCTTCAAAAGCAGGGGAGGGGGCAGGACAAAGGCTCAGCTTTAATGAGGGGCGGCCTGATCTTTATGGGTACCCCCTTTGTCATGTAACAGACTGGGACTTGGCTCAGTAGTGACTCCTGTTGGCCGGAAAGTGAACAGGACACCCCATTGTCCAGATTGTGTCTGGCCTGTCCTGACAAAGGCCACCTGGCTTTGGGGGCGGGAAGCTGGCCTGCCCACCCTTTGATGTCCAGTCCCTACTTCCCTTCCCCCAGCTGGGAGCAGCCTGGGACTTCCCCTATCTTCTCTCCTCAACTGCCATCTCCCACACACACCCAGCCTGCCCCCTAGGCAGATGCTAGGCAGACGCTGGGCAGCGCCTGATCAGTACTGCAGGCTCTGGCTACAGTCATACCCTTCTTGGAAGTCCCAAGTTCCTATCTGCCTCTAGGGAGGTACAGGCAACCTCGCTCTGCCAATCACCTCTGTGACTGATTAAGTAATATCAGGTAACGATATGGAATATTTAACTCTTAGAACATTGAAGTGGGCACTGTTTTTACTCTTGCTTTGAAGAGGAAGAAACTTTGTCACCAACTAAATACTTGCCCAAAGCCATAGAATGTTACGGGACTGGGACTTGAACCCCGGTAGACAGAGCAGCACACCTGTGCACTCTTACTCTACTACACAGAGCTTCTCAGAGATTAGTCATCCCTTTGGGGTCTCAGTTTCACTGTCTGTGAAATGAGTGGGGAATAAGGTTGAATAGCAGTTTGAACCCTGCTTCAAGTTACCAAAAGACTCCTCTGCAAAATACAAATCTTTCCCTGGAGAAAAAGGAAAGCCTCCCAGAAGCTTTGTCTATAAATCCCAGAGGGAAAGCCCCACATTATATCCCAGGAGGGGAGATATTGGGGGCCTTGCCCTCAGCATCTTGCAGATGTGTGGCTGGGAAGTCTGGAGAAGGAAACCCACATTTTCTCTCTTCCACTTGTGGCTTCCTGCGGATCAAGTGACTCTGCAGGTGGATGAGGAAGGTCCCCATGGGCAGGGACTTGGAGAGAGGCCATCTGCTGTGTGGGCTGGTGGGGTTCAGAGACGTGGAGGGAGCTTGGGAGAGCTTCTGGGCTCTGAGATAGACGGAACACCTGGTCTCTGGGCATAAGAGCAGCTGAGCCCCGCTCCACTGGTGGTCACAAAAGTCATTTGTAAACTGTTACCTGCAGGCAGGTGGGGAATGCCCAAAGGTAAAAGCACTCTGCTTTTGGAGGATAGTGGGAAAGGCTTGGGGGACTTGGGTTCCGGAGGCTCCAGGAGGGCAGTTCCCCAGGAGCCAGGTTAGACCCGTCCTGCTGAGGATACAGGAACCTTGACTTTGGGAAGCTGGATGCTGCAGCTGACTGCTGCAGGTATGTGACTCTCGGTAGTGCTCCTAACCTGGGGGCAGAGTTGGGCTGGGACAAAAGAAAGGCCATGCCCCTCCACTCTTTGGCCTCAGTTTCTCCTTCTGGGCAATGAAAGCACAGGTTTCTGGAGGAGGCTCCTGGGTAACACTGTGGTCTGGGACAATTGAAGGAAGGACACTGCAGGCCCCGGCTCCTTAACCCCCAATGACACTGACCATCAGGCCTTCAGCCTGCCATTTTCTTGACCAGTCAGTCCCTTCTGTCCCCCTTCTGAGCACCTAGCTTCCTAGAATAGCTAAACTGGACAGTTAGCAGGTGTGCAGATGGGGAAACCACGGTCCAGAGGTGACAAGGAGTGTTCGTTTTACACAAGTGGAGGCTGAGCTGGGACAGGTCCAGATGAGTCAGTTTAGACTTCTTCTGTGGATTTCCATTGTATGTACAATGAAGTCCATGCTCCCTCCTGAGGTGCACAGAGCTGCACAGCTTCAGCACCTGGCCCTGCATGCCCCCCAATCAGCCCAGACCACGCCCCACTGCCCTGCTCCAGCTCTCCAACCTTCTTGACACTCCTCAGTCCTGCCAAGTCCCACTTCAGGTCTTGTGCACCTGCTGTTCCCTCTTCTGGAAGCTCTGCCTTTGTACACCTGGCTACTTCCTGCCCTTCAGGTGTCAGCTCAATGGTCACCTCCTCAGATTGGACCTCTGTGATTCCCAGAGTGGACCCCCCACATCCACTGATGATCTCTGCGTATTCCCTTCTGAGCACTAACCCAGTGCCAGTGTACTCGCCTATTTTGATGTGTGCTTGTGTGCTCTCTGTTCCCAAGAGGCCCAGAGTCTTTCTGACTTGCTACCATATCTGGGCACCCAGCTCAACTCATGGCACCTAGTAAGTGCTCCATGCATTGTGTTGCACCAGTGAACAGGGAAAGTGTAAGGGACCCAAGGCGTCTCAGAGAACAGGGGAGGGGTGAGATGTTGGCTTTGACATGGGTTTCTGTCACCATCTGGGGATTGGACCCATGACTGTCCAGCCAGCAGTTCCAGTGGATGGTGGAGCCTGGCTGCCCACTCGGACAGTGCTCCTGCCTGACTTGCAGAGCTGCAGTCACCGAGGCTGGGACTGAGACTCTGGCTCTGGTCTCAGCAGGGTGGTAGAGATGGGGACCTTCAGGGAGAGGCTGTTGGGCTTCAGTCAGGCTACAATCCTTCAACAAAATGTTAGTCAGCTCCGAGTGTTGCTGTCACTCGCTGTAGCCAGGATGGGGATGACTACAAGGGGCACTATTGTTCTGTCTTCCTTCTTGGCTCTATCAATATCAGTGTTTTCATTAGGAGGGTTATAGTCATGCTTCTGTCGCGGGCTCAGCCTGATTCTTTGTGGATAAACAGTGCTTCACACATTAGTGGCCCGTTGGGGTGCCTGGTCTCATAGGACAGGCAGATGTTCACTCAGATGATGAGGCGGTTGCAGCAGAGTTCAGGTCCTGGTCCAACTCCACCAGCTTTCAGACAAGGAAAGTGACACAGGCAGAGAGGAGGGACACTCTTCCGCCCACACACTCCAGGCCCACCCCTTAGCCTATTGCCACAGCTGCAACCTGGCCTCCCACCTCCAGCCTCTGAGGGATGCCCCAGCTGTTTCCAAACCAGTTGTGAGGCTGACCTTGTCAAGGCCCATCCCCTGCTCAAGAGCATTCCCTGGCTACCTACTGCTGTGGAATTGCCACTTCATTATTAAAAAAAAAAAAAAAAAAAAAAACAGCCCCATTTCTGATATTTAGAGCCCTTCTGAAAACTGCCTCCACCCCAGTACTGAAGACATTCTCCCAACTAGTTTGCCTAGAAACAGAGATGTTCTCTGGGGACAGGTAAGAGCCAGAGTTAGGGAGTCTCAGGTCTGGGACTGCATTTCTTTTAGAAGCTGTATAGCCTCAGGCAAGCTAAGCTGCATCATTTCTCTAAGCCTGCGGTTCTTCCAGTGTAACATTAGGATAATGATAGGATTGAACCTTGAAGCCACGGTGCCTGTAAAGCACAGCCCTGTTCCTGGTACACAGTAGGCAGCTTCAGCACGTGGGCACTTATGATCACCTCTGCCAGTCCTTGGCAGGTGCACACAGGTACACACCTCACACTTGCTGCCTCTCCAGTCTGATCCTCCAACCTGCACTGCCCCTCCTTCCTCCTCTGCATACTTACCAGTTCAAATGCTGCTCCTCCTCCAAGCCCACCTCCTTCAGGAAGCTCTCCCTGATTCTCCCCCGTCCAAGCACTCTGTCAACAACATGCATTGCTAACTGTCTGCTCTCATCTTCTTACTTATCCCTGCCAACTGCCATCTGATATCCCCCCAGGACCAGTCCCGTTCAGTCCCAGCACCCCCTGTCTTGCACATAGTAGGAGCTCCTGATAAAGCTAATGGGTGGCATGGGCTGAGTCTTTGCCATGTGCAGGTGTTGTGACGAGAGCTTTGCACAGGTGATCTCACCTAAGTCTCGTAACAACCCTAAGACGTGAAAGGATCTATTATTGGACTCATTTTACCGATGAGGTCGTTGAGGCTCAGGGAGGTCACGTGGCCTGCCCAAGCTTACTCAGCTACAGGATGGTGGCACCAGTTCCACCAGAGTCTAAGCCCACTGAGCATCTGTCAAACAAAGCACCACCTCCCCCATGTGCTTCCCAGCCCAGGTGGGGAAAAGGAGGCCAGCCAGGGGATGAGCGTGCGAGGCTGGGGGGGAGGCCAGGGTGGGGGGCACAGCAGGGGCCAGGCTCTTGAAAGCTGCTTCTCCACGCAGAAGCTCCATTTGACACCTCGGCTCTCAGATGTAGCTGGGAAGGGGAATGACCCAGTTAGAAGGTGGCAGAAGGCTTTTTTTGGTTGAATACCCCACCTCCCGCCCGCCCCTCTTTGGCAGATACTGCTGCTTAGCGCTTCAGGAATCGT